AGTAAACGTTGTTTCTATCAATGAGAATAACAAATTTCACAATATATTTAAAGAGGATGTGAATCGTTATCATAAATAATAAACGTATAAACAAACAAATCAAAATGAACTAATTTGGAAAAACAATTAAAAGACAACAAACGGCAGTTACAGAAAGATGAGAAATGATACTTGTAACAGTGTTTTTGCTGTGAGATAGGTGAATCCATAGCTGCATTGTTTTCCTTTTAAACATATTCACGATTTCTAGTAAGGATATCATTCATTAACACAAGACTAATGATTAGAAAAGAAAACAATACTGTAAAAAAAAGCGTAGAATAATAAACCCTTAAAGGGTTTATTAAAGTGCAACGTATAATAAACCCTTTTTACCGTATATGAAATTTTCCTAAACCCTTTGATAAACCCTTTAAAAGGGTTTAGGAAACCAATAAACCCTTTCATATACATTACCACAGGGTTTCGGAAAACTTATTCTTTCACAAAATTCATATGCTCAGTTTCATGAGTCCTGGAAGCAAATCTAAATGAAAAGTAAATAAATCTATTTAATTTAACTAAAACTTACTTGTGATTTTGTTATTGCGACTAAGCTAAATAAAAAGAAAAAAAAGAATTATTTATTTTAAAATATACTTACATATGATATTGAATTTGATATTGAACTAAATAATGTAAAAAGAGAAATATTAATATAAAAATAATATTTACATGTGTTTTTTCAATTTGATGTTCACTTAAATGAAGAAAAAACAGAATTATCTATTTTAAACGAATACTTACATATAATTTTGACGTTGATATTCACCTGAATGAAGAAAAGAATGCATTGTTTGTGAGAAAATAATACTTACATTTGATTGTATTGTTTCGAGAATTTTAAATAAAAAAGGAATTATTTACAAAAATATTAATTGCATATTATGTTTCACTTCATAATGAGCTAATTAAGAGAGAGTCCATGAGACCATCGAGCATCGTGCTAGATATCGAAGCACTCGTCAAAATTTAATTTTTCGCCTCGATACATAACTTTTTTTTTAAACTTTGTTTTAGTC